CATTTCACCAGGGGCCGAGTTTTATCATCATCGCCGCACTGGTGGGCTTTGTACTTTTTCACTTCTGCCATGTACTTGGCCCATGCATCACCTTTACTTGTTAATACCTGTGGGGAGGGGGGCAGGGGCACACAGGAGGTTGGGAAGGGGATACCAGGGAGGCCAGGAACTGGGGTCAGGACTGTCCTGAGACAGCTGACCCACCCCCAGTACCACCACCCAGAGGTCCTGGATTTGAGGTAAAGATATTCAGAGTCAAGTTATCTGGGGACCTTGTTGAAAGCCCTCCTCCCTCACCCAGTACCCCCACATCCAAGGTCCAGATGCTAGACAGGGAGGGACAGGGCTGGTTAGCCAGGTGCTGAGGCTGTTAAGGAAAGGCCGCACGGGTAGCCCCCAAACCTGGCCTGCTCACCTCATCCTCCGTCTTCTGCTTCTTGGCTACTATTCCCGTCTTGAGGGCTAGTTTGTTTCCGCCTCTGCGCTTGCCCACCTGGGTGAAGGGACAGAAGACTGCAACGGTTACAGGAGTCGGGCCCGCCCTTGGCGGCGCTGAGGCCCACTACACCTTCCTAGCCCGGCCCGGTGGCCCGTCCTGACGCCGCGCCCAGCTCCGCCAGCCGGCCAACCTGCGCAGCAATCAGAGAGGAGCACACGCGACTCTTAGCGCCTGCCCTGGGCCCATGATACCCAGGCAGTCTTGGGCCCCCAGGATGCCCTCCCAGGGAGCGAGAAGAACCCCCACACCAGTGGGGACAGGCTCCGTCCTCACTCTCCATGCTGAAGCCTCACCCTCCCCTAGCAGTGACCACGCAGGCAACAACAGCTCCTTTTATTAAGCACTTACTGTATGCCAAGCCCTGTGCCCAGTGCTTTGCATGTACCACCTCCTTTCACTTTCATAGTTACAACCATACCGATTTCATACATGAGGAAACATTTTTGAGGAAGAGAGGCCTGTACCCTCGGTCATGTTGGCAGCAAACAATGGGACTGAATTAGGGTCGAGTGGGTCCAAGCCACCGAGCAGCATCCTTAACCACCAAGCCACACTGTGTCCCTGAACCTAATCTGGCCTGGCCTCTTGGAGGGTGCTCCCGAAACAGCCCCTCAATGAATAAATGAAAAGGCAGGGACTACTACTCCCACTTAGCTCCTGGCATTTCCCTTCCTCAAACAGAAGCCTCACTCCGGACTCTTGTCCTGGTCCTCCATCTGCTCCCACTGACGGAGGCTTCCCGTGTCATCCTATCTCTCCACCCATCAACCAGGCATTCAGGGACCTGCACAGCTGGGACTAGTAGTCTCACACCCATTTTTGGTGGATGAAGAAACTTGACCCCCAGTCTGTTATTCTCTCAAGTTTTGGTATTTTTTTCCCACACCACAGGGCCTTGATCTCAACACCTGAGACAAAGCAAGCTCAGAATGGAAAATCAATATAGATGCCATTTATTTAACCCAAAGTCTCTCAATCTCGCACTGACTTGTGGAGCTGGATCACTCCTTGCTGGGGAATTTGGAGTGGGGGTTCGAGGAGGGCTGCCCTGTACATTTGAACAATGCTGAGCAACATCCCTGTCCCTGGTCTCTGCTCAGATGTCAGCAGCACCCTCTGCCCCAGTTCTGACACCGAAAATGTCTCCAGGCTTCCCTAAATAGGAGGAGCATCTCCAATTGAGAAGGACTGACCACGGCCGGGTCACTCGTTGGTCAGAGCACGGACCCAACACGCCAAGGTTTCGGGTTTGATCTTGGGTCAGGGCACGTCCAAGAACCAAGCAATGGATGCATCAATAAGTGGAACAACAAATCACTGTTCGACTGTCTCTCTCTTTCTCTCTCTCTTCCCTTTCCTAATTTAAAAAAAAAATCTGTGTTTTTTTTTTTTTAATTTAAAAAAGTAAAAAGAGGACAACTGGTCTAGCCCTTTCTATCAGACAAGCCCCGTGATCCTTTTCCAGGATGGCCTCACTGAATTCTCATCACATCAGAAGAGGAGATGTCCGTTTTTCCAAATACAAAAAATAAAGGCAGGCCATCACAGACGCTCCAGGAAAGCTGCGATCGTGCCCGTCTGGTTCACCCCGGCACAGCCAACGCCTAGCACAATGCCCAGCACCAGGTAAGGGGCTCCACAAACGGACACTGGGCGAATGAGGCTCAGGGGAGCTAAGCAAATCTCCTACGGCCACAGCAGGCGGTCCGAGTGTCTAATCCACACACCTGAGACTCCAGATTTGCATTCGCTCCCCTCCGAGTAGGGGGAGACGGTCCCAGTATCCAGTTATGGCACCAAACAGGCATCCTGGTTTCCCCACTCCCGGCTCCCCGGCCTCACGGGCAGTCTACGGGGGAAGCCTACACTCGCCCCCAAACCTCTGTGGGGGGCCCAGGTTTCATCTTCGGCGAGAGACCTGGAGGAAGTCCTTCCTCGAGCCGGAGGGGGCCCGGGCTCGCGATTCCCTTTTTCCCCCCGATTCCCGCGCCAAGAGAGGCCCCCGGCGCCCCTCCCCCACCCCCGCGGCTCCTTACGAAGCTGAGCGTGGGGCCCGGGCCGCCCTTCCTCTTCGGATCCCCGGGACCCCCGGCGGCGGCGGTCGCTGGCTGGTCGGGTCGCGGCGGGCCCGGAGGCGGCTCCTCCTGCCGCTGCCGCTGCTCCTCCTCCATCTTCCGCTTGAACAGTTCGAGGAAGCTGCCGTCGTTGGCGAACAAGTTCACGCCGCCCGACACCGGGCTCGACATCTCCTCGTCCCCGCTCTCGGGCGACGTCCCCGGCCCCGACTCAGCCCATCGGCTCCCGCCGCCGCTGCCCGCCGCGGGGCCCGGCGCCTCCCGGCCCGGAGGCTCCGCCCGTCTCCCTCGGGCAGCCATTTTGTCACCAGGTGCGGCGCAAAGGACTCCGGGAAGGCCGCTTCGGCCCGCGCTTGGCGCCCGACTAGTCGGTCCCGGGCAATGCATGCCGGGAAGAGCCGTCTGGTCCTCAAGGCGTCGCAGTGGAGGCGGGACCTGAGGGCGGAGCGAAGGAGGGTAAAAACCGGCCGGCGAATCCGCGGGCTTTTCCGTTCAGCTAGGCTTGGGCGGGCATCACGGAGACGTGGTGTAGCGGGCTCTCAGGAGTGAGGTTTCCGCTTGAGACGGGGGCGGGGGTGTGGGGGGCATAGCTTTCCGTGGCTAGGACCCCCTTCTTAGCACCGGAGATAATCTCGGTGGGGAGAGGGATCCCTTTTTGAGGCTGTGTGCTCAACTGACACCTTGGAACAGTGGTTCTCAACCTTCCTAATGCCGCGACCCTTTAATACAGTTCCTCATGTTGTGGTGACCCCCAACCATAAAATTATTTTCGTGGCTACTTCATAACTGTAATGTTGCTACTGTTATGAATCGTCATGTAAGTATCTGATATGCAGGATGTATTTTCATTGTTACAAATTGAACATAATGAAAGCATAGTGATTAATCACAAAAACAATATGGAATTATATATGTGTTTTCCGATGGTCTTAGGCGACCCCTGTGAAAGGGTCGTTCGACCCCCCAAAGGGGTGGCGACCCACAGGTTGAGAACCGCTGCCTTGGAACATGGGTCCCTAACTGAGTCTAGAGAGCGTCTCTAGCCTGGATAAGGTGGTTCTGGGTTGATGACATGTCCCGGGGATGGAGCTCCGTGGAGCTGGGGGTCCCATCTCAGAAGCAGGGTATTATTTGAGCTTTCTAAACCGGAGTCCCCCCGCTTATTATCAAGAGTGTCCGCCAAGCCCTGGCCAGCGTGGCTGAGTTGGTTGAGCGTCGTCCGGTGCCAGGAAAGGTGGTTGGTTCCATTCGCGTCAGGGCACACGCCCGGATTGCGCGCTGGAGCTCCGGTAGGGGGCGTGCAGGAGGCAGCCCATCGATGTTTCTCTCTCTCCCTTCCTCTCAAAACCAATAAAAATATTTTTAAATGTTTTAAATTTGATTTTAGAGAGAAAGGGAGAAAGAGAGAGAAAAAACATCGATATGATCAGCTGCCTCCAGCCACCACCACCCCCAACCAGGGATAGAGCCCGCTACCCGGGCATGTGCCCTGACTGGGAATGGAACCGGCGACCTTTTGGTACATGGAAGGAGTCTCAACCAACAGAACCACACCGGCCAGAGCAATAAAATAGCTTAAAAACAAACACATACACGCACAGAAGTGTCCGCCAAGGGCCTGGTACCCAGCTTGTATTCCTGTCCATTGCTGAGGTCCAACAGGGGGAATTCGCTAAACTGGAGTCTCCCCTTCCATGGGGAGCAAACTGCAAGAAGGTTTTCGGGAACAGGAAACACAAGGAGCGCGGTTGCAAGTGTGATCCCTGCCCTGATCTGCCCGGCATGGGGGCTCTGGGAGCACTGGACAAGGGTCTGCGGGCCTTGCGCACAACTGGAGGCGGTCTCCCTCTAGGGCTAGGCCATTCGCAGCCTCCGGAGACGTCTTCAGTCAACTAATCAATCTGTCTGATTGGTTTGCGTGAGGAGCCCGGGCGGCTCACAAAGGAGACGGCCATGAGACGATTTGGGGACCCAGTTTAGAGAACTGGGGGGGAAATGATCGACATGAGGTTGAGCCCATAGCGTCAGGCCAGGGCGAGTCTGGGATCCAACTTCAGGGAAAGGGTATGGACTGGGTGCTTGGTGGGTTGCTAAGGAGAGGTGGGAGACTACCGGCACCTGCGAGTGATTGGAGAAAGTAAAAAAAAAAAGAAAAAGTAGCCAATGAAAAGAGTGCTGCCAGACTTGGGGTCCAATCAGTGAAGGGGAGTATTCTGGAACGTACCAATATGTTAATTAAGCGGGGGGCGTCCGTGAGATAACATAATCGAGAGATCAACAAGGTAAGCCCCGGGAATGGAGAACATTGGAACTATAGCCTCTTCTATGGCGCCTAAAAGCCAGGGGGTGGGGAACGTCCCTCGGGCTGCTGGTCCCGCTGGAGATGTGACCGAGAACTCCCCCCGCAGGTGCCTGGCGTGGTGCGCTCCGCGTGGTCACGTGAGCCGGTTCCAAGATGGCGGCAGGGGTGGCCGGGTGGGGGGTTGAAGCGGAGGAGTTCGAGGATGCGCCCGATGTGGAGCCGCTGGAACCCACGCTTGGCAACATCATCGAGCAGCGCAGCCTTAAGTGGATCTTCGTCGGGGGCAAAGGTGGCGTTGGCAAGACCACCTGCAGGTAAGGAGGCCGCGGCGGGAGCCGGGGAGACCGGTGGGCTGGACCACTAGGCGAAGGGGGCGGCCCGGGACCGGCTTCTCCACGCCGAGCCGGGCACGGGTGGGAGGGGCGCCGGGGCCTCCCGGGGTGTGCTCTCCAGAAGCCACCTGGAGCGCGTGGACGGCGCCTCCCGGATTCAGGCCCGGCACCCTCTGAGTTGGACCATTTCCGTTAGGGCTCAGGGGCCGAATCACGCTGAACCCAGCGCACGGCGGCCGGGAGAGCCCTTAGGGGTCCCCGCCTGCGGGGCCACACCGGAGGGAGCTCAGAGTAGGGGCCGGGGCACCGGAACAAACGATCCTTGTCTGGTGAAACGTGCTACTCTGTGCCCACGTGGGGGTGGGGTTGTGGGGAACGGAGCGAGAGAGGGTAGGTGATCAGACTATTCCAGTCAACCGGTAGGAGAGGGAGGGTTATCCTGAACAAATGGGACTGAACCATCCCGAGTGCAGTAGGAGGTTCCAGGGACCCCTTAGCTTAGGGTTGAGGGGGTGCAAGGGACCCCGGAGTTATGCTGGCTGGACAGCTGGACCATGCCATGCTGTGCCCGCAAACATGAAGCCGGCATCAGGCCAGACTGAACCCGGCCACTCGCCAGCTGGAGTGGTCTTAGCAAAGGTCTGAGAAGGGCCCTGCACAGAGACTGGGGACTGATCCCGCAGTCACCCCTGTTCTCAGGGCCCCGGCCTCTGAGCCTCACATCTCCCCATGCAGACGGGGAGCAGGCCCTGACCCGTGCTCCCTACCTTTTGACCTTTTCCTTGCCCAGCTGCAGCCTAGCAGTCCAGCTCTCCAAGGGGCGGGAGAGTGTTCTTATCATTTCTACGGACCCGGCCCACAACATCTCCGATGCATTTGACCAGAAGTTCTCCAAGGTGCCCACCAAGGTCAAAGGCTATGACAACCTCTTTGCCATGGTGAGTAGAGCAAGGCTCAGCTTCCCAGTCTGGCCACGGCCCATTCAGGTCTTTCCTGTGGACATCTTCCATCCGCCCATCTACATCCTTTGTCATTCCAGTCTCGCCCCTTCTTCAGCTACCCACAGGGAAACAACTGAGGAATGCTTGTGGAGCAAAAAGGAAGCCAGAGCCCTGACCGGTTTGGCTCAGTGGATAGAGCGTCGGCCTGCGGACTCAAGGGTCCCAGGTTCGATTCCGGTCGGGGGCATGTGCCTTGGTTGCGGGCACATCCTCAGTGGGGGGTGTGCAAGATGCAGCTGATCGATGTTTCTCTCTCAACGATGTTTCTAACTCTCTATCCCTCTCCCTTCCTCTCTATAAAAAATCAATAAAATATATTAAAAAAAAAAAAAAAGGAAGCCAGAGCGACTGGAGCTTAGTGAGCAAGGGGAGGGAGCCATCAGAGAGGTCAGTCAGAGCCATGTGGTGTAGGACTTTGTAGGTCACTGGGAGCAGTTTGGCCTTGATTCCAAGTTTAATCGGAAGCTGTTCATTTTGAGCAGGGCAATGTCATAGCCTTGACAAGTTCCCTGTGGCTGTCATGTGGAGAATGGATTATAAGTTGAGGCTGGAAGTAAGGGCAGTGACCAGGCAAGAGATGAGGGCAGCCAATAAGATGGAGGTAGAGTGTTGGGGAAAAAAGGTTGGATTTGTGATGTCTCTTGGAAATAAAGCAGTACAACTGCTTGGTTGTCATGGGCGAGAGAAAGAAATGAATTTTTACTTTAAGAGAGGGTGGAAGGGGGAGAGACAGAGAGAAACATCAATGTGTCTCTCTCACATCGATTGGTTGCCTCCCACACACTCCCTGATTGGGGCCGAGGATCAAGCCTGCAACTGAGGTGCGTGCCTTTGACCGGAAACGAACCTGGCACCCTTCAGTCCACAGGCCGACACTCTATCCACTGAGCCAAACCGTCTAGGGCAGTGGTTCTCAACCTTCCTAATGCCGCGACCCTTTAATACAGTTCCTCATGTTGTGGTGACCCCCAACCATAAAATTATTTTCGTTGCTACTTCATAACTGTAATTTTGCTACTGTTATGAATCGTAATGTAAATATCTGATATGCAGGATGTATTTTCATTGTTACAAATTGAACATAATGAAAGCATAGTGATTAATCACAAAAACAATATGGAATTATATATGTGTTTTCCTATGGTCTTAGGCAACCCCTGTGAAAGGGTTGTTCGACACCCCCCCAAAGGGGTCGCGACCCACAGGTTGAGAACCGCTGGTGTAGGGCTAAATACATCTCTTGGTTGGCCCCTGAGCAGCTGGGGTGAGGAAGACTAGCAGAGAAGCAGGTTTAGAAGGGACAAGTCAGGAATTCTATTTTGACCACAGTGAATCCATGGTGCCCACTGGACATCCAAGTGGGGACACAGGACAGTGGCTTAACTGTGTGAGCCTGGAGCTCAGAGGAAGTTGATACTGATTTGGGGGTCACTGTCCCGAGGGAGGTATTGAAAGCTGTGTGAGTAAAGGAGAATATGAGAGAACAGAGAGGCCCAGAGACAGCCTGAGGGGGTGTCAGCATTTAGGGTCCAGAAGTGAAGGAGGCTAACAAGGAGCTACGGGGGAGGTGAGGGGAGAGACAGAGGTTATACCCTCCTGAGCTCCAGGAGGACAAAGGAACTTGGGCAGAAAGAGGTTGTCTGTTCCAGCAGGTACATCCGTTTTAGAGACCACTGGTGAGTGGGGGCAAAAGGCTGTCTGGAATGGGTGAGCTGAGGAAATGGAGACGGTGATCGCCATGATGGGGGCTGAGAAATGGGGCCATCACTAGAGGGAGACGGAAGGGGGGTTGAGGTGGGCTTTTTTGAGAAAGGAGACACTGGAACATGTTTGTTTGCCAATGCAAATACTTTACCAGGGAGAGGACAAATTTTCCAAGAAAGGAATGAGGATTTTACCGGAGACTTTTCCTGAGAGGGGGGGGGGGGGCGGGGGGAGTGAGCTACATACAGTGCACAGACCTCTTACATGGACTCCTCCGGGGCCAGAGATGCGGAGGCAAGGTGGAGGGCCTGGGGCGTTTCCTGGGGGGAAGGGATAAGGTGTTGACAGCCAGTGGCTTTTCTTTCTCTCTGAGGCCCAGGTGAGGCACAAGTCTCAGCAGAGAGCAAGGAGTGAATGGGACGGAAGGGGTTTGAGGAGGCATAAGATGGGACATAAACACTCGCAAGAGCGGATGGTCTGGCTGTTGGGTGCCAGACCCATTGGAGTTTGTGATTGGGAATGGGGAGCAGGTGGGAGTTATTTGTCAGGTGTGCTCCCCTCGTGTTCACCTCAGTGTAGCCACACCAGGGACCCAGGAATAACCAGGATGGGGATTTTGGCAACCACAGAGGGAAGGGGGAGTGTTTGTAGAGGCAATCTTTGGAGCCTGGGCTGGGTAAGGGTGCCGGCCAAGAGGGACACTGACAGTGAACTGGGGTCAGGGGAGAGGGAATGAGGTGGCCCAAAGAGGTTTAACCCTTTGCGGTCGTATTAAATTTGGACATGGGTGTCGTACTGGTCGGAATTAATTTCCATTGAAAGAGCAGTGATACATAACATGCAAGATTATGAAGGGTAAACAAGATTTATTAATTCTTTTTTGGAACTACGTCACTACTAGTAGAATCACTACAAATGTTATCACTTTCTACGTCAGAGTCAGTATTCAAGGTGCCAAAATAAAACTCTTCATCGTTACTTTCAGATTCGCAGTACACTTCTTTTTTTTTTTTTTTTTTAAATATATTTTATTGATTTTTTACAGAGAGGAAGGGAGAGAGATAGATAGTTAGAAACATAGATGGGAGAGAAACATCGCCCAGCTGCCTCGTGCACATCTCCCACGGGGGATGTGCCCGCAACCCAGGTACATGCCCTTGACCGGAATCGAACCTGGGACCTTTCAGTCCGCAGGCCGACGCTCTATCCACTGAGCCAAACCGGTTTTGGCTCGCAGTACACTTCGGTAACTTTCTTTTTGCCATTTTGGAGTATTATTTTGAAATATCTTAACAAGCGAGAATGCCTAATTACAGTTAAACATAATTTGTAAAGCTTTATTTGAAATTCTGCGAAGTATCTCCGAAGCTTGTCGATTTCTTCACTCTCAAAAGGCGACTGACTCGCCACGGTGCTTTGCATGGCAAGTGTGGAACGACCGCGTTTGTTTATATTGCGTTTCGATATCTCCAATTCGTCAGGGCAATGTTTTGGTTCGTGACAAGGTCGCTTAGACACTTAAGAGCTTTCAGAGAAATTATGAACTGATACATGAATAAATAGAGTTAAGATTCGTACGGTTCCTTGCTGTGGTGGCTGAGAGTAGACAAACGACCGCAAAGGGTTAAATAACTGAAGCAGGCCCAGCTGGTGTGGCTCAGTGCTGGAGCATTGACCCATGAACCGGGAGGTCACAGTTTGATTCCCAGGCAGGGCACATGCCCTGATTTCGGGCCTGATTCCCAGTAGGGGGCTTGCAGGAGATAGCCAATAGATGATTCTCTCATCATTAATGTTTCTGTCTGTCTCTCTTCCTCTTCCTTCCTCTCTGAAATCAATAGAAACATATTTAAAAAATAACAGCCAGACCAATGTGGTTCTGTGGTTGAGCATCAACCTATGAACCGGGAGGTCACAGTTCGATTCCCAGTCAGGGCACATGCATGGTTTGTGGACTCCATTCCCAGTGTGGGGCATGCAGGAGGCAGCCGATCAATGATTCTCTCTCATCTTTTTTTTTTTTTAAATATATTTTATTGATTTTTTACAAAGAGGACAGGAAAGAGATAGAGAGTTAGAAACATCAATGAGAGAGAAACATCAATCAGCTGCCTCCTGCACATGTCCCACTGGGGATGTGCCCGCAACCCAGGTACATGCCCTTGACCGGAATCGAACCCGGGACCCTTCAGTCCTCAGGCCGATGCTCCATCCACTGAGCCAAACCGGTTTTGGCTCTCTCTCATCTTTTTTTTTTTTTTTTTATATATTTTATTGATTTTTTACAGAGAGGAAGGGAGAGGAATAGAGAGTTGGAAACATCAATGAGAGAGAGACATCGATCAGCTGCCTCCTGCACACCCTCTACTGGGGATGTGCTCACAACCAAGGTACATGCCCTTGACTGGAATCGAACCTGGGACCCTTGAGTCTGCAGACCAACGCTCTATCCACTGAGCCAAACCAGTTAGGGCTCTCTCTCATCTTTGATGTTTCTATCTCTCTCTCCCTTTCCCTTCCTCTCTGAAATAAATAAAAATATATTTTAAAATAGTAATAACTGAAGCAGGAGGCAAGGAGGCCCAGGTCAGAGAATGGGGTATGTGAGCTCAGAGGTGAGCCAGTGACTAGGAATAACCCATCAAGGGTGTGACTGGGTGTGATGGGTCGGGCAATGGATACACAAGCTCTATGCAGGGAAGTGGACCTCTGAGGCCAGTGAGGGGGACTTCATCACAGGACCTGTGCAGTCACCAAGGAGCGGTGACACAGGAGGAGGATAGAGAAGGAGGCATCAAGTCAGGACTGGCCAGAGTCCCCAAGGATGGTCATATCTTTGTGGATTCCACATCTATGTTGAGGACTTCCTGTGTGCAGACAGTTCCTGGTGTCCTCAGGGGGCTGACATTCTGGGTGGGGAGACAGATGAGAAATGTGATGAGTGTATCATGTGAAGGGAGGCTGGATGTTAAGGAGAAAGGCAGGCGGGACAGTGAGGATTGTGTCTGCCCTGTTAGATGAGATGGTGAGGGAAGACTCACATTAGAGAATAATCTGGAAGCAATCAGGGGCCGGGTGGGGGAACAGCCAGTGCAAGCCCTGCAGAGGGCTTTGGCTTCCCTCTGTGGACACTGATCACAAAAATTTGCAATTTTCCATCTGTTTTTAAAATTGTTTGACCTTTTGAGCAATCGGAAGACCTTAATGCCTGAGGGAGGGCCATGGCACCTTGGGGGTCTCCCCAGCCTCTTCCCTGATGGGGCCCTCTTCGGGCTCCCCTGGCCCTGGTGCCCCCCAGGTGAGACGGCCCTGGGAGTAGCAGGAGCAGCCTGAGTCTCGATCCCTTGTGTTCCCCCCCTAGGAGATTGACCCCAGCCTTGGCGTGGCAGAGCTGCCTGACGAGTTCTTCGAGGAGGACAACATGTTGAGCATGGGCAAGAAGATGATGCAGGAGGCCATGAGCGCCTTCCCAGGCATTGACGAGGCCATGAGCTATGCAGAAGTCATGAGGTCAGGCCCAGCAGGCTAGTGCGGCCTGGGACTGGGGTGGAAGAGGGAGCAGAGTGGGCCTGACCTTCATCTCCCCGCAGGCTGGTGAAGGGCATGAACTTCTCAGTGGTGGTGTTTGACACGGCGCCCACGGGCCACACGCTGAGGCTGCTCAACTTCCCCACCATCGTGGAGCGGGGCCTAGGCCGCCTCATGCAGATCAAGAACCAGATCAGCCCCTTCATCTCACAGGCAGGCAGGGCCCCAGGGCATCCAGGTGTCCCCTGAGTGGGAGCCAGTCCCCAGGCCCCCAGATGTGCAGTGACATAAGCCTTTCTCTCACACAACTCTGGATCCACGTTTTCCCAATGTGGGGGGAGGGGCTCTTC